GCCCCGCAGTGGGCACCACTCACCCGCTCTGGAGCTCCCAGCCGTGGGCCCCACGCAGACGTGCCCTGAAAGGATTTCCTGGCGGCAGCCTGTGCTATAGTGGAGACGGACGAGGGGGGCCTTGGGCACGCTGCAAACCCACCGAGGGCCTGGGCCAGGGCCCAGGGCGCCTCTTTGGTGGAGGAGACAACCAGCGGACGCAGTGCCCAGTGCAAGAGGGGCACTGGGATGCCGGGCACCCTGAGTTGCCTACCTGGCCTCCCGGATGGCACCAAATAGAAACGTCCCACCCGACTACAGAGGCACTCAGGGGCCAGGGAAGCAGCCCCGGGGTCCATATTAATTTCAGCTCCATTTTAAAGGCGAGTTAAAATAAACATGGGGAATATTTATAAGGCAAATAAATCTGGCAGAAACAGCCCCTCCAAGTGTGAGTGGAGGCCTCCCCTCAGCCCCAGCCCAAGCTGATAAAATACAGAAATGCTACTGTAGACCCTCCGGGCTTATTTTGACTGCGGCAGAGGAATGTAACATGTAAACACTGACTCCCATATTACACTGTTACAACTTGCATTAACAGCGCCGGACAAAAGCCGCATTTTCACAGAAGCATCGTACAGGGATATATCTCCAGCTTAATTTTTAAAAAAACCATTTCCTCACATAAATCATGCTCAGAACGAAACGGGTGACTGATACATTGCAAACACTTTTTTTCTTAAACAATAACATACCTAGATTCCTTCTAAACGAAAGAGCTTTAAAAAAAAAATCTTCTAAATGTTTTTTTTCTGAAGAAAATAAACACTGCAGTTTCTTTCCCGACCAAAATAATCTGGGGCCGTGTCTTCCCGGCCGAGCCGGCTGCCCTCAGCACGGGGTTGCAGGGGAGTGCTCCCCAAGCCCCAGCCACCTTGCCGGGGAGACAGCAGGGGCAGGGCACCCAGAGCGCCAGGCCGCTTCCCCAGCCCCAAGTGGGCAGCCTCTGAGGGGAACGGGTGTGACCAGGATGGAGAAGGTGCTGGCCTGCAGTGACCGGCCCCGAAGTCCCCAGCACACCGAGGGGCCCAGCAGACTTCCTTGGGCTGCCGGACATCCAAAGCCATTTCCCTGCAGACAAAGCATCCTGCAGGGGCTGGACAGGCATCCAGACTCCACCCAGAGAAACCGATGTGAAAGACAACCAGAGCCACTGGCAGACTCGGGATGCCAGATGAAGACAAGACCTCAAGACGGGCACTGGGGCCCGGGCAGCCCATCTCCACCACACCACAGAAGAGCTGCAGCCAGCCCAAGGGTGTAAAAGAAAATCTGACTTGTGGACGCCCATAAGGAAAATACAGGGCTTAAAAAAAAAAAATCTTAGGGGTGGGGCAGGCCTTTCAGAACATGTAATAAATCAAAAAGCCATTAAGTGTAAAAGATTTAAGTTACATTAAAAAAAAAAGTTAAACCATTTGTACCCTGCCCAAGTTAAAAGACACTAGAGGCTGAGAAAATCTGTACCGCAAGTGACAGAGGATCACATCCCTAATACGCAAACCAGCAAGAAAAGAGAAGCGAAAAGCCAGACAGGAAAGTGGGCAGGGACCGTGCTGGCGGCTTGCACAGCGCCGCAGGCACGCTCATCTCAAACAAGCCTGCGAAACGAGGTTTTCCACATCGGTAAGTGAAAAGACCACTGATCATACGTACATAGATACAGAGTCATACATACATAAATGCATACAGAGTCAGATCGTGCGTAACCCAGCAGACAGCCAAAGAAAAAAAGAAACCAGTCCAGGTGCAGGAGCTCACACCTGTAATCCCAGCACTTTGAGAGGCCACGGTGATCACTTGAGCCCAGGAGTTCGAGGCTAGCCTGGGCCACAGAGCGAGTCCTTGCTCTAAATAAAAAAATTAAAAAGTAGTAATTAGCTGGGCGTGGTGGCAGGCGCCTGTCATCCCAGCTACTCGGGAGGCTGAGGCAGGAGAATTGCTTGAATCCAGGACTTCAAGGCTACAGTGAGCCATGATTGCACCACTGCATTCCAGCTGGGCGACAAAGCAAAGACTGTCTTACAGATAAAAAAAAAAACAAAAAAAAAAAAAGCAAAAAAACAGATAAACAGATAACTCAGAAATTATGGCATAGCAGGAAAGAGTGATTGCTGTGACAACAGAAAAACTGAAGATTTCTGCATGAAATAGGATCACCAAGTCCAAAGACAAGCCACAATCGGAGGTCCAATGGAAACCAGGGCAAGCCCGGCACGGTCTCAGGAGGGTGTGGGTGCGCCATGGGTAGCAGTGACCGTTGCCCAGCCCAGGGGCATGGGAGGAGAGGCTCCTTTCCGTTTCGTGTCTAATCAAAAGGCTGATGCTGGAGTTACCAAGGACGGGGAAGCGGGCAGAATACACATGGAACCGGTGTGACTGGCCGTCAGCAAACTGTTAAGATCAAAGGGCAGCTCCCCTCGTACCCAGCTTTGCTACTTCTAGGAAAGACCCCAGACAGGGTTATAAAGTGGGTAAGACCACCTCACAGCCACTGGGATGGCCACTGCCAAAAACACAGGAAACAGCAAGTCCAACAGAGTTTAAAGGAAAAAATAAAAGTTAAAGGGGGAAAGAAAAGCAGAAAACGCGTGCTGGCGAGGATGCGGGGACCCAAGTCCTCCTGAGCTCTGGTGAGAGTGGAAGACGGTGTGGCCGCGGCGGGAAACAGGATGGAGGTCCTCAAGACCCTATGATCCCGCCATCCCACTGCTGGGTTTGCACCCAAAAGAAGTGAAAGTAAGGTCTCTAAGAGGCATTTGCATGCCCATGTTCACAGCGGCACTATTCACAACAGCCAAGCAGCGGGGGCAACTCGGGTGTACACTGACGGGTGAATGGATGAACAAAATGTGGTGCGCCTGTGCAAGGAAATATTACTCAGGAAATTCAGATACAACGTGGATGAAAGAGTTCCAGAGCTGGACAGTGGTGACGGTTTCACGACATGATGAGCATATTTAATACCACTCAACTGCATACTTAAAAATGGTTAAAGTGGGCTGGCCGCAGTGGCTCATGCCTATAATCCCAGCATTTTGGGAGGCCAAGGCAGGTGGATCACCTGAGGTCAGGAGTTCGAGACCAGCCTGGCCAATATGGTGAAACCCCATTTCTACTAAAAATACAAAAGATTAGCCAGGTGTGGTGGCACACGCCTGTAGTCTCGGCTACTCACGGGGGCTGAGACAGGAGAAATGCCTGAACCCGGGAGGTGGAGGTTGCAGTCACTGCACTCCAGCCTGGGCAACACAGTGAGACTCCATCTCAAAAAATAATAATAATAATAAAGTGGTACATTTTATACTGTTTTAGCACAACGAAGAATTGGGATAATGTGTTAGAGGCACTTACAATGGTTTAAAGAGATGTACCTCAAAGGTTTTGACTGCAGCATTGATAATGATGATGAAGAGAGGCTACTGAGATGCTCATTCGTAGAAGGGTCAAAGGAAGTACGCAACTTCCATTCAAGGGAATCCAGTCCTGACCCCACACGAAGATGCCCTGTGAAGTGTGGAATAATGACAAGCAGAACATGTGACGCACCACTCACACACACACACACACACACACACACACCCGTGTGCACACGCAAACATGCACACCACACACATCCGCATGCACACCACGTACACACCGGCACGCTCAGAGGTGGGACCCTTTTCCACTGCTCTTTTCTCCTGGGGAAGGCTAGAGACTGCTATTGACCAAGCCTCTGCCGCCCTCTGGTGGCCTCTCTGGCCTCTGCCAGCACAAAGTCACACCCCACAGGCGGGAGCTGCCTGGACCGGGGACCTCGGGATAGCCTCTCTGTGGGCATCGGAAGGCACTTAGTGACCCTGCGCCTGCTCCCACGGGGAGTGAGAGCCACTCGCATGCTGCCAGTCTCCCTTCCACAACCAGGATGTTGTTTCTGAGGCCTCTGGAGCCTTTGCTAGATTTCAGGGAAACCCAAGGTGCGAACCCGAAGACAGTGAGGGTGTCAGGCGAGGGCTGGGGTAGGGATTGCCGGCTCTCCCCTCCTTAACGTTCTCCCTGATGTACCTGATGGGACGCACTGGAATCCCAGGGCTCCTGGGAAGCCCATTTGACAACGACAGACCTAGATAACAAACAGCTGACTCCCTTTATGTGGCATTCGTGTTATTACCTCCAAGGAAGCCACAAGACACAGAGTACATCAACGGCCCTTCAGAGGGGCACAAGTCACAGCCTTATTGTTTTGTTTTATTTTGAGACAAGGTCTCACTCTCTCCCAGGCTGAGTGCAGTGGTACAATCACAGCTCACTACAGCCACAACCTCCTGGGCTCAAGCAATCCTCCCACCTCAGCCTCCCAAAGAGCTGGGACTACAGGTGCACAGTACAATGCTTGGTCAGTATTTTAAGATTTTGGTAGGCTGGGCGTGGTGGCTCGCACCTATAATCCCAGCACTTTAGGAGGCTGGGCAGATCACCTGACGTCAGGGGTTCAAAACCAGACTGGCCAACATGGAGAAACCCCGTCTCTACTAAAAATACAAAAATTAGCCACGTGAGGTCATGGGCGCCTATACTTCCAGCTACTGGGGAGGCTGAGGCAGGAGAATCGCGCTTGAACCCAGGAGGCGGAGGTTACAGTGAGCTGAAATTGAGCCACTGCACTCCAGTCTGGGTGACAGAGCGAGACTCCATCTCAAAAAAAGAAGATTTTTGTAAAGTCAAGGTCTCATTATATTACCCAAGCTGATCTGGAACTCTTGGCCTCTAGCAATCCAATCCTCCTGCCTCAGTCTACCAAAGTGCTAAGCTAGCAAGCGTGAGCCACGGTGCCTGGCCACAAACGACAGGCCTTTTCTCCTTCTTTTGGGTAAACTGGAAAGAAAGCCCCAGGAGCCACGCAGCAGCACAGGCTCTCAGGGCCCAGTGCTCACTCTGCTGAACAGAGAGGACCCCACCATGCATGCGACAGTCCTTACGTTTTTCCAGGGGACTCCTTCAGCCAGAAGATGTCATCGCTTGTGATTCCATATTCCAAAGCACCTTCGACCTGTCAAGACAGAAATGACCCCTGGGATGAGAGCTCCATTTGGCCTGTCCTAGGGCTTCCTTACAGAGGACGCCAGCTCTGCAGACTCAGCCAGCGCCGTCCCAGAGCACGCATGCACAGGGCTTCCCTGCTGCCAGTCCTTGTCTGCAGGCTGTGGCTTCTCTGGGGCTGCAGGTGGCCTGTCTGCATGTAAGCTGCTGTGCTCCTGGGCCCGGTGCCCTCGCAGGACACCTTTCCCCTCTGCTCCCCAGGACCCTCCCCTTGACCTGGTTCAGACCAGGACATAGGACCTGAGGTAGGCACAGCAACTACAGGGGCCACACAGGCGACAGCTGGGCCCCCTGAAGTCTGTCCGGGTCCTGGACAGATATATCAGACGGACAGAGGCATGCAGCCCCAGGGAGCGGCACCTGGGCTCTGGGAAGGTCCAGACTCAGAGAGGGGAAGCAGGGAAAGAGTCAGCAATCAGGGCCAGCCGAGCTCAAAAGTGTCTGCGCGGCAGGGGTGGGCTGCCAGGCCGGCGAGAGGAGAGGAGGCACAGGGTGTGGGTGCCACGGGCTGAGGTATGCGGGGCCTGAGGGGCAGCTCTGAGGGCGCCTGGCTGAGGCCAGGACGGACTTCACACTCTCAAACCAGACAGGCCACCTGAAGAGGGGCGGCCAAGCAGGTGGGGAGGCCCAGGGTGAACGTCCCCTTAGCAGCCACGAGAACAAGACGGGCTGGTGCAGGAAATGGATCTCACAGTTTATGCTTCCAATTGGCAAAAAAAATAAAGTCAGGAATTTCGCAAAAAAAAAAAAAAAAAAAAAGGAATTTCTCAGGTTTGCTCAAGGAAAACCGAAAAGCCTGGCAATCAAAGGGACTGAAACGCAAGCAAGTCTTGGCAGGCACCCTGGGAGGGCGTGGCAGGGAGGGCGGAGCGGCGCTGAGCGGCCTGCCCCTCAGGACCAGGAGCGCCTGCTGGTTCCCCTGTGGGCCCACGGAGCCGTCAGCAGCTGCCTGTGAGTTGCACAGCAGGGCCAGGCCAGGGCCCCCCTGCAGGGCTCCCTGGAACAGACCACGTGCAGCTCCCCGGACCGCAGAGAAGCCCAGGTGACCGCTGGGCTGCTGGGAGCTGGCCGTGGCCTTCCTTAAGCAGAACCACCATGAGCCCAGCTGCCAGGTCAGGGGATCACTTGGACCCTGTCTGCGGCAGCTGCCTTGGACAGCAACACAGTGTCATCCTACAGAGCCACACGGCCGCCAGCCCCGTCTCTGTGCATAAGCAACCTGCCCCTGATAGAGGCTGCTGTGGCTGCCCAGTGGCCAGAGAAGTCTCGTAGCCTCTAAGGACTGGGGGTGCTCGTGCTCCTTGCCCTCCTCTCCCTGTTTCCCCAGTAAGCACAGGGTGAAGTGGAGGCTGGGGCCACATCCAAGAAGCAGAAGAACCTCCCCTTGCTCTGCCTCCACCAGACGGGCCCTGGGTCTAAGTCAGAGGCGGTGTGGCCCAGACCAAGGGACCCGTGGCCTTCGAGAGCCTGGCTGCAGCCTGCTCAGAGGCTTAGGGCAGGCGGCACCCAGCTCCCCAGGAGACCCGTGAGGACTGGCCTCGGCCAAACCTCTCTGCCCACCCCCAGCCCCCATTTGCTTTCCCTGCAGCTTTCCCTACCCCCTCACCCTGGGGCCTCTTCCTCAACTCTGCCCCACAACCCACAAGACTGGGCCAGGAGCTATTCACCGCTCTGTTCACCCTGGGGCCTCTTCCTCAACTCTGCCCCACAACCCACAAGACTGGGCCAGGAGCTATTCACCGCTCTGTTAAAAACAGCGATAAAACTGACAAAAACTGAGATTCCGAATTATGGAAATTAACCACAGGCTTGCAGCAGCACAGGGAACATTTAGTCGGGAAAAACAGCTGAAGCTGGATGAGAACGGGAGCTCCAGGCTGTTTTCACTCACTCTGCTCCCACCCCTACCTCAGCGGCAGTCCTGAACAGTAACGGCCAGAGAGAGCAGAACCCAGCTGGGGTCTTTCAAAACCCCTCCCAAAGAAGAGTCAGAGTCAGCATCTGACCCTGCCAGGGGTTCCCCAGAAGACCCCCTCAAAAGAGTCATCTTGGCCGGGTGCAGTGGCTCACACCTGTAATCCCAGCACTTTGGGAGGCTGAGGCAGGCGGATCATGAGGTCAAGAGATCGAGACCATCCTGGCCAACATGGTGAAACCCCATCTCTACTAAAAAAAAAAAAAAAAAATACAAAAATTAGCTGGGTATAGTGACATGCACCTGTAATCCCAGCTATTCAGAGGCTGAGACAGGAGAATCACTTGAACCCGGGAGGCGGAAGTTGCAGTGAGCCAAGATCGCGCCACTGCACTCCAGCCGGGGCAACAGAGTGCGACTCCGTCTCAAGAAAAAAAAGGGGGTCATCTTTACCCAGCCTCACTGGAGCTCAGCCAGGGCTAAAAGCTTCTCTCTGGGGGCATTTGCCCGAGGTTTTCCTCACAGCTGCCTGAGGGATGGGTAACAGTTGGAGCCAGCAACAGACGGCCCAAAAAGCTTCAAAGGAAAAGCCGAGACATGAGATGTCCACTGGAGCTTTGCAAGGCTCCGGCATATTCCTGGGAACCTAGACCAGGCACACAGCACTGTGCACACGTCGGGAGGGACCAAGGAGGCCCTGAGGCCTCACCTCCAGCCGACATTGCTTTCTGCATAGGCAGGAAGTGAAGGCTAGGGAAGAGCTGCCTGCTGCCTGCTGAGTGCGGAAGGCATCCCCTCCGTATGCACATGGAGCCCTCAGCAAAGGCCCGGAGAGTCCTTAGTTTAGAGAAATCTCCGTGCAGTTACTGGCTGATCACTGAGCTAACCAAATAGAGACGTCAGTGGCCACATACAACAAAGAATAAGGGTCTACAAAGTCAGTTCCAAAAAGTCCCCGGTTAAGCGGCTGAAACAACAGAAACCTGTGGCAGAGGGAGAATCTGGTTTCCAAAGTTACCACATGAAATTATTCGAAGTGTTCAGCTTTCAATTACAAAATTACGAGATACGTGAAGAAACAAGAAACCAAGACCCTCATACGCTGCTGGAAGGAATGTGAAATGCACTCATTTTGGAAAACAGTCTGAGGTTCCTTGAAAGGGTCAACACAGAGCCGGGCGCGGTGGCTCACGCCTGTAATCCCAGCACTTTGGGAGGCCGAGGCGGGTGGATCACGAAGTCAAGAGATCGAGACCATCCTGGTCAACATGGTGAAACCCCGTCTCTACTAAAAATACAAAAAAAATTAGCTGGGCGTGGTGGCGCGTGCCTGTAATCCCAGCTACTCAGGAGGCTGAGGCAGGAGAATTGCCTGAACCCGGGAGGCGGAGGTTGCGGTGAGCCGAGATCGCGCCATTGCGCTCCAGCCTGGGTGACAAGAGCGAAACTCCGTCTCAAAAAAGAAAAAAAAAAAAAAAAGGGGTCAACATAAATCTACCACGTGACACGGCAGTTCTGCTCCTAGGTGGAACCCAAGAGAAGTGAAAACTGAAGTCCACCAAAGGCTTCTGTGCACATGCTCACAGCGGCACTATTCATAATAGCTACAAAGTACAAACAATCCCTGTGTTCATCCACGAGCAAGCGGATAAACAAAATGTCGTCTATCCGTAAGATGGAACAGGATCTAGCTATCAAAAGGAATGACACTGACACGCGCTACAATGTGGGTGAACCTGGAGGATGTTACGCTCAGTGAAGTAAGCCAGTCGCTCAAAGACACACGTACGATTCCAGTTACATGGGAAGGACTTACACGTACAATACCACTCACACGAGGTGCTTAGTGTTGTCAAATTCATAGAGACAGAAAGTAGGTGCTGGCTGCCAGGGGCTGGGGGAGGAGGCGCTGGGGAGTGAGGTTTAATGGGAATAGAGTTTCCGTTCGGGACGATGGACGTTCTGGCAGTGGATGGTGACTGATGGCCGCACAGCTCTGTGAATGTACTAAAACCCACTGAATTGTACCCTATAAAAGTCTGAATTTTATAGCGTGTGGATTTTATTTCAAACTTTTTTTAAATTCGGGGAGGAGGGGGAGGAGGAGGAATGAGGCTTATATCCTGAACGTTCCAATCATTCTGAGGCTGAAGGGAAAGCGGGAATCAGCAACGGCAACTTAGGAAGCAGGAGGTGGGGATCGAAGGGGATGAATCCGGCAGGGCCCGGGGGCAGAACAGAACAAGAGCTGTCCGTCCTGAGGATCCGGTAGCGTGGAGGCCACTGGGGACCCCGCATTTCAGCCGCGTGGATTCAAGAGAATTGGAAAGCAGAAAGTGATGATAGTGAGTAGAGGGGGAAAGGGGGTGCAAGCCGCTGGTGTGGAAAGCGCGTGTGTCAAAGTGCAGCCCTCGAAGAGCCCGGGGAGGGGCCCGTGCAGCAGGGACGCTGTGCTCTGGGGACACTCACGTGTGCGGGGTACCTCGGCCGCCCTCCGGTAGCGATGACGATGTGGTCAGCTGACAGCAGAATCTGAGAAGAAAGAGAAAGCCGTGGGTCAGACAGAGGCATAGTGGTCACGCGCCAGAGGGCCCGAGCACCGCAGACCCTGGCCAGCAGTTCCCACAGCCCCCGCCCTGCAACGTGGAGCCTCGGCCAGCAGCTCAGAGGCCCCACGGAGCTGGAATCCCATCAACAGGCAGCTGGGTGGGAGGGGGACAGGCAAAAAGGACAGGAGAACATCCTAACTCCAACCACTTGGCAGTGTCCAAAGCACCCTCAAATCCCCACAAGACCCTGCCAACAGGCTGTGGTCATAAACCCCGTCGCCATGTCACTCCGAGGAGCAAGGCAGCAAAGTATTTGATCATGTTAAAGACACATGCCCAGCCTCAAAGGAAGCCACCTTTTCGATTCCAACAGCACGTGTTACTGAGGACAGCACCCGGGACAAACACAGCTGCAGCTGGTGCCCCAGGTCTGCAGAAGGGTCCACGAGGGGCCAGCAAGTGAGTCAGAGGCTCACCTCTTTCCCACCTTTGGCAACACCGCGAACTGTGTGCTCGTCAACAAAGCCAGCTTTGACGTTAAAGTACTTGACTTTCCTGAAAGATAAAGATTAGATTTTCAAACAAATTAAACCTCACCAATCAGATCAAATAGGGAGCAAGGGTCAAAGGGAGCTCCAGCCCCCAGCAGGGCCTGGTGCTGTGGCTCAGGTGGGGCAAGAGGCAAGTGGTCACCACGCTGAGAAGCGTGGAGGGGATGTGGGGTCACCTTGCCTGTCCCCCAGGTATCCCGGGGACGTGTTGACCACAGGTGTCCAAGCAGGGACAGAGGCCAGCTCAGCACAGTCCTGCGAGGCCACGTACAGCCCTGGTGTGCAGCGAGGGGTGGCCAGACCTCTCTTGGGGACAGTCCTCATCACCTAGACATGTTCCAGCAGGGAGCTGTGGCACCCACCAGCTGGCATCACATTCAGGGATGCAGAGACAACAAGAGAATGGGCATGACAGGGCTGGCGAGACGGTGGCTGGGCACCCGGTGCACAGGATCCAATGACCTACACTGCTTTTTTTTTTTTTTTTTTTTTTTTTTGAGACAAGAGTCTCACTAAGAGTCTCACTCTGTCACCCAGGCTGGAGGGCAATGGCATGATTTCGGCTCACTGCAACCTCTCTACCTCCCAGCTTCAAACATTCTCTTGCCTCAGCCTCCTGAGAAGCTGGGATTACAGCTTGCACCACTATCCTGGCTAATTTTTATATTTTTAGAAGAGATGGGGTTTCGCCATGTTGGCCAGGCTGGTCTTGAACTCCTGACCTAGGTGATCCACCCACCTCAGTCTCCCAAAGTGCTAGAATTACAGGCATGAGCCATCACACCCTGCCCTTATTTTTTTTAGAGACAGGGCCTCGCTCTGTCACCCAGGCTGGGGTGCAGTGGCACGATCATAGCTCACTGCAGCCTCCTCTCAAGGAACTGGAACTCCAGGCATGGGCAACCACATCTGGCTAGTTCATTTTATTTTTACAGGGATGAGGGTCTCACTATGTTGCTCAGGCTGGTCTCCAACTCCTGGGCTCAAGTGATCCTCCCACTTCAGTCTCCCAAAGTGCTGGGATTACCGGCATGAGCCACCGCACCCAGCCAACACCTCCTAATGACAGAAAGGCCCTGCTGCAGCAAGGGTTCTGGGAAGGCTCCGCCCCCTGCTTGAGCCTGCCTTCTTCCCACCCACAAGCCTGGGCCTCCATGGGCTGTCTGAGCCACGTGAAGCTCTCGAGGCAAGCACCCTTCAATCACAGGGCTGGCTTCCTCGACAGCCAGGAAGCAGCTCCGGGACACAGCCGCACGATGCTCACAGCAGCACTTTGCGCCCCAGCCTCCTTCTACAGGTGGCTCTGGGGCAGGCAGTGGGCTGGGCCTGTTTGGTGCCTGCCCAGGAGCTGCGTAGGGCAGGGAGGAAAGAGGGCAGAGCCTGCTGCCCCCAGGAAACTGTACCGGGGGATACAGATCCCCACAGAGAAACACGGAAACTCCACAACACAATGTGGCTTAGCTCCCTGGACAGGAGAGAGCTCGTGAGGCCCGGGTAAAGGGCAAGCAGTTGGCTTCCTGGCTCTGCTTTCCTGGATTTAATGGGCACAAAATTGCTCCCTGCTGTGAAGCCCCAGGAAGATCCCCCTGGAGCCAAGCAAATGGTGCACGAGAAGAGCCATCAGACCTCTGCAGGACCAGTGTCCCCTCCCCGGCCCATGGGGCACAGGCAGGGCCACAGCCCTGGGAGAAAGCCTGGGCCTGAGGCAGTGCCAGATTCAGGCACCTGCTAGGCTGGCAGCCGAGCCCCACGAGGAGGCCTCTGCGCTGGGGATCCCCCAGGAGCTGACAGGAATGACGACCAGCTAAGGATATTTGCTCCAGTAGAAAGCACCAGGCCCCTCCAGCCATACCCAAGGAGCGGGAGCTGTGTAGTAAGAGGGGGGTTGGTGGGGTGGAGGCGTATAACCGGGATGGCCCTCACCATGTATCAGCCCCAGGCGCAGCCATGCCCATGCTCTCTGGCCTGAGGCCTCCCTGGGCAGCCCTGGGCTCCGGCCATTCTGCCAGCGTGGCCTCACTCATTCCTCGGCACCTCCAGGCTCTGCTCAGCAGCAGAGGGCAGGCTCCCCTTCCCCTGCGGTCCCTCCCATCCACTCCTGAACCCCCAGAGCCTGCCAGGGCATGCTCTGCACAGTCAGTAAGTGTGTGTCCAGGCACAAAACGCCCAAGAAAAGGCCCAGAGGGCGGCCCACTCTCCAGGGGAGCTTCAGTACCTGTCGTGCAGCTGGACACGGTGGCCCCAGTTCAAGGATTTCACGTGATTTTGAACAGCTTCTGCCATCTTCCTCCTGTGAACATACAAAACAAAATATAAAAGCACAACACAGGTGTTAGCTGCAGAGTCTCACAATGGACGATTAGATTCAGATGTACAGGGTGCGATGGCTCATGCCTGTAATCCAAGCACTTTGGAGGCCAAGGCAGGCGGATCGCCTGAGGTCAGGAGTTCAAGACCAGCCTGACCAACATGGTGAAACCCCAGCTTTACAAACGAAACGAAACAAAACAAAACAAAAAAAGATTCAGATGTACATTAATAGAAGTATCAAAAAACGAGAGTGCTTTTAAAGGTGGCGAAACATGACATCCATCCCTACGAGCCACCGCCTGTCCCGGGCTTGGGGCTGTGGACTTTTGGACTCCCAGAAAACAGGGGCTCTGACCCACAGCTATCCAGATGCAGCTGCTCTGTGCCCCAAAGGCTACCCCCTGCAGGCAGAGGCCTATCTGAGCTACTGTGGGTGGCTGTGTGCTGGGCCACGTGGTCCCCTTCCCAAAAGAACTCGGCTGAAGCGGCCTCCCACCCTGCACTCCCGGCCTTGGAGATGGACTGTTCTTGGTGGGGCTGCGCTGTGCATGGCAGCAGCATCCCTGGGCTCCCCCGAGGAGGGGAGCAAACCCTTCCCCAGAGACAACCACGACTGTCTCCAGACATTCCCAGATGTCGGAGGCAGAGGGCGCAGAGTCACCCCTGGCTGAGAACCCATCCTACAGCACACTCCCTGTGAAGGTTCACGGAGGATAAGCCTCCTCTTCCTCCTCACCCGAGTAGCACAAAAGCACCCGAATGCCACGGCGCTGGGTCCTTACCAGTCATGCGGCACGGGCTGGGCCACCTCCCAGCCATAATGGGGGGCGTCTCGGATCAGGCCCCCCAGCAGTGCCGCCTGGTGCATCAGCTTCTTGGGAATGCAGCCGACGTTGACGCAGGTGCCCCCGAGGCCCCACCGGGTGCCTGGGACGGGGGAAGAGCACATTTGAATTTATGGTCAGGTGACTACTAGAGACTTCCCTGTTCTTCTGGGGTGTTTGGAATTCCTTGAAGTTGTTTTGTAACTCTGACGGGGCCAGCTGACATGCCACAGGAATGTGATCGCTATTTTAATTAAAAATAAAAATAGGCCAGGTGCGGTGGCTCACACCTGTAATCCCAGCACTCTGGGAGGTAGAGGCGGGCGATGACCTGCGGTCAGGAGTTTGAGTCCAGCCTGGTGAACATGGCGGAAACCACGTCTCCACTAAAAATACAAAAATTTAGCTGGGAGTGGTGGCATACACCTGTAGTTCCAGCTACTCAGGAGGCTGAGGCACAAGAACTGCTTCAACCGGGGTGGCAGAGGTTGGCAGTGAGCCGAGATCGCGCCACTGCACGCCAGCCTAGGCAACAGAGGGAGACCGTTTCAATTATTTAAAAAATTTAGTTCTCACCTCTGTCATCTAACCCGGAGTGCAGTGGTGCAAGCATAGCTCACTGCGGCCTCAAACTCCTGGGCTCAAGTGATCAAGGTCCGCCTTGGCTTCCCGAAGTGCTGTGAGTACAGGTGTGGGCCACTGTACTGGCCAGAGTCGCTTTTGAGAACGGTGAAGAACTTTAAAGTAATGACGTATGAAACAGGACACTGTCCGGAGACCACGCATAGCGGGGCCGAGGGACTCTGGCGTCAGCTGCCCTCCGTACAGGAACCAGGCCCACCTCCCATCTCCTTCCCCAGGACACCCGGCTTCCATAGGTGCTGCCTACCTCGGGGAGAAGGTTCCACGTAGTCCACCACGGCCACCTTCCTTCCCAGCTGGGCAGCTGAAAGGAGAGGAGAGCGGCCGGTGAGCGTGGGGAGCTGGCTCAGCCCCCCACGAGAACAGGCGCTCCTTGGGGCCTGTGCGGTCCGCGAGAGCATGGGCAGGGCCTGGGCCTGCGGCTGCCCACAGCGGCCAAGTGACGCGACGCTAGGGCCCCTGATCTGCCTCGGCACTCCGGCCGGCTGAGCTGTGCCACCTGCTGGCTCTGCACTGAGTCTCCCAGCCTCCTGCTGCCACTGCCCACCCAGACGAGCCACCCGCAGGCAGGAGCCCTCAGACCTCTCTGGGCCTGCAGCCTTTGGACCACCCACCCCTCACACTGCTGGCATTTGCAGTGCCACACAAGCCCAGTGCCCACCCAAGCATCCCTGGGTGGCATTCCCCAGGTAGCCACCCCACTGAGAATGGCTCCTGACTCAGAGGCTCTCCCTTGCCCCCTTCCCAGCACAGCCCTAGATGGGTACTGGCCACCTCACCCTCAGGACCAGGACACCAAAGCTCAGAAGTGACACAGCAGCCCCAGGGTGGGCCAGCCCCAGAGTGAGAGCCGAGACCTGACTCCAAACCACACTTCCGGCTGCGGAGCCGCCCAGCTACCCTACGGGCCATCGGTGGGGCCACCCAGAGCCACAGGTGCTGAGGCCAACTCAGAAACCATTAGCCAAGACCGGGCACGGGGGCTCACACCTGTTACCCCAGCATTTTGGGAGGCTGAAGCAGGTGTATTACTTGTGGTCAGGAGTTTGAGACCAGCCTGGCCAACATGGTAAAACTAGTCTCCACTAAAATAAACATGGTATATATGTACTTACACGACAATCCTGCAGGATACAGGATGTGCACATGTATCCCAGAGCCAAAGTACAATAAAAAAATAAAAATTGCCGGGCGCGGTGGCTCAAGCCTGTAATCCCAGCACTTTGGGAGGCCGAGGCGGGTGGATCACGAGGTCGAGAGATCGAGACCATCCTGGTCAACATGGTGAAACCCCGTCTCTACTAAAAATACAAAAAATTAGCTGGGCATGGTGGCGCGTGCCTGTAATCCCAGCTACTCAGGAGGCTGAGGCAGGAGAATTGCCTGAACCCAGGAGGCAGAGGTTGCGGTGAGCCGAGATCGCACCATTGTACTCCAGCCTGGGTAACAAGAACGAAACTCCGTCTCAAAAAAAAAAATAAATAAAAATAAAAATTAAAAAATTAGCTGGGCATGGTGGCACGCGCCTGTAGTCTCAGCCACTCAGGAGGCTGAGGCAAGAGAATCATTTGAGCCCAGGAGGCAGTGGTTACAGTGAGCCAAAATTGTGTCACCCCACTACAGCCTGGGTGACAGAGCAAGACTCCGTCTCAAAAAAGAAAAAAAAAAAAAAAAAAAAAAACATTAGCCAGGGCTAATTTCAAGCTTCCCTTTGGCTGGGCTTGGGCACTACATTAGCAAGCCTCAGGCCCTGAACTCAACTGACCCCAGGGCACATGTAAATCTCATGAACCCTAAAATGCCACGGATCGTGTTCAATTCATGACCATCACAAAATAAGATTAGAACAAAGTTTTCTAAGAGTTCATGTTAAAAATCCATTTTGCTCACTGAATGAATACTGGGATTCCCCGGCTCAATTTAAAAGCTCAAGCCTTGGCCTTCAAAAACCTAATGTCATCCAGACGCAGTGGTTCGCGTCTGTAATCCCAGCACTTTGGGAGGCCCAGGGAGACAGATCACCTGAGGTCAGGAGTTCAAGACCAGCCTGGCCAACATGGTGAAACCCTGTCTCTACTAAAAACACAAAAATTAGCAGGGCATGGTGGCAGGCTCCTATAGTCCCAGCTACACCGGGGGCTGAGGTAGGGAAATTGCTTGAACCCAGGAGGCGGAGGTTGCAGTGAGAGAGATAGCACCACTATACTCCAGCCTGAGTGACAGAGTGAAACTACATCTCAAAAAAAAAAAAAAAAAAAAAAAAGCCCATGTCCACAAGGTGCAGTAGCTCATGTCTGTCATCTCAACACTTTGGGAGGCCAAGGGAAACAGATGGCTTGAGCCCAGGAGTTTGAGACCAGCCTGGGCCGCACAGCAAAACCCTGTCTCTACAAAAAATACAAAAATTAGCTGGGTGTGGTGGTGTGCACCTGTGGTCCCAGCTGCTCGGGAGGCTGAGGTGGGAGGATGGCTTGAGCTTGGGAGGTGGAGGCTGCAGTGAGCCGAGACTGTGCCACTGCACTCCAGCCTGGGTGACAGAGCAAGACAGCATCTCAAAAAAAACAAAAAACCAGTGTCCAATTCCCACACCTGACCATGATGGAGCAGCAGAGCCCAGATTTACCCTCCCCCTGAGGCAACCCAAAACCCAGGTCCGATGCATCAAACAACAGGCTTTGAGGTACTGGACATCAGGCAACAAACGACGTGACAGGCAGGAAACAAACATGGTGGGCCCTGGGGAGTCTCCAGGACCCAGCGCTGCAGGCCGGGGGAGGCTGGGGAGAGGCCAGCGCAGGAGAGGACTGACAGCCTGGGGAGACTGAGGCAGAGAAGACGGTGAGGGGCCGCTGCCCAGAGGATCTGGAAGACCTGATTGGCACGTGTGTCTTGCGAAGCTACCGACAGCAGGGACAGAACCACCTGGAAGGGCTGGAGAGGACCGTGCCCACAAAGGCAGGGGACAGTACCTGTTCCCAGAAGGCAGACTGGGAAAAGCATATTATTCCTGGGGCATTGGGTCATGCCTCAGTAGTTGAGAATAATTAGCCCTGGACTGGGCACTCCTCCACACACACCTGAGAAATCTTTTGCAGAAGACCCAAAGACTGACTCTTTTTTTTTTTTTTTTGAGACGGAGTTTCGCTCTTGTTACCCAGGCTGGAGTGCAATGGCGTGATCTCGGCTCACCGCAACCTCCGCCTCCTGGGTTCAGGCAATTCTCCTGCCTCAGCCTCCTGAGTAGCTGGGATTACAGGCACGAGCCACCATGCCCAGCTAATTTTTTGTATTTTTAGTAGAGACGGGGTTTCACCATGTTGACCAGGATGGTCTCGATCTCTTGACCTCGTGATCCACCCGCCTCGGCCTCCCAAAGTGCTGGGATTACAGGCGTGAGCCACCGCGCCCGGCCAAGACTGACTCTTAATAACTTAACTGCATCCCAGAACAGAGCTCAGTATTTCTAGAAATATAAAAATCTCCAGAACCCAGCAAGGTAAATTCAAGCATCTGCCATTCAACCAAAAATTACCAGTCACACAAAGAAGCAGGAAAAAAAGGGGGGAAAAATTACACCTAGAGAAGGGGAAAAAAAGTCAGTCAATGGAGACTGACCAGAAGTGACACATGTCAGAATCAGCAAAAAAGATCAATAAAACGGGCGTTCTGGCCGGGCGCGGTGGCTCAAGCCTGTAATCCCAGCACTTTGGGAGGCCGAGGCGGGTGGATCACAAGGTCGAGAGATCGAGACCAACCTGGTCAACACGGTGAAACCCCGTCTCTACTAAAAATACAAAAATTAGCTGGGCATGGTGGCGCGTGCCTGTAATCCCAGCTACTCAGGAGGCTGAGGCAGGAGAATTGCCTGAACCCAGGAGGCGGAGGTTGCGGTGAGCCGAGATCGCGCCATTGCACTCCAGCCTGGGTAACAAGAGCGAAACTCCGTCTCAAAAAAAAAAAAAAAAAAACAGGCCTTCTAACTAGTCCATACTTTTTTCTTTTTATTTCCTTGGTTAGATGCCTCAGTTCTGTGCCCTATCTCCACCTTACCACAGATGATAAATTATCTGCTCATGTGTCTGTCTTGGTAACGAAACTGAACAACTCCGTGAGTCAGGGGCTTTGATCCCGGCTTGTGTCTGTTGTTCTGGGTCCTGGCCCAGAGCTTGAACCACATTAAGTATTCACATGGTTTGCTGGAGAAATTAACATGTGAAAAACAAACCTTCCTCACAGAACACTGCTCCTCCTTCATTGTTCAAGATCCCAGACCTTTGGGTCACTTTTTTCCTGACCACTCACTACCGAAAGTTTTCTCTCCTTCCTTCGACTTCGGGGTGGTTGTATAAACCTCTGATGCATCCCAGCCTGCACTGTACGGTAGCTACTTCTCACTCTCCCAGACTGAAGAGCAGTGGCACAATCCTGGCTCACTGCAACCTCTGCTCCAGGGTTCAAGCAATTCTCTTGCCTCAGCCTCCCAAGTAGCTGGGATCACAGGCATGCACCACCATGCCAGGCTAATTTTTTTTGTATTTTTAGTAGAGATGGGTTTCACCACGTTGGTCAGGCTGGTCTCAAACTCCTGACCTCAGGTGATCTGCCTGCCTTGGTCTCCCAAAGTGCTAGGATGACAGGCGTGAGCCACCGTGCCCGGCTGGGAAGGACCTTATATGCAACGTGTTCTACCTGCTCACCTTAAGTCTGAGTCTCCTTCATAACACCCTTACCAAGTGCTCACCTAGGCCTGGTACCTTTGTCTGGAAATGTACTGCCTTCCCAAGTGGCCATTTAATTGTGGGAACTCTCCCTGTATAAAATTCTTCCTCATATTCATTGGAAATGTTTTCCTGTAACTCTTAACTATCTCCACCCCCCTCCCACATGCCCACCCACTCTTTAAAATGTAAAACAATTTATTTTTTTTCCTTCCCCTTAAATTTTCTCATTTTAATTCCTTCAGTGATGAGTTTCCAGGATAGATCCCTTCAACTCGGACAGTTTAGGTCACTTCTCTCCAGATGACCCACCTGCTCCAGACCTCTGCTTAGAAGAGACTGCGACGCTCCCAGTAGGAAGTCTAAGGCCCTAGACGTAGCTCGCAACTTGTCCTGGCTCTGCGTTATATCAGCCTTAAACTCGGTCACATCAAACATTTGACTTATAGAAGTTAACACGGCAGGCTGGGCGCAGTGGCTCACACCTATAATCCCAGCACTTTGGGAGGCCGAGGCAGGCAGATCACCTGAGGTCAGAAGTTCGAGACCAGCCTGATCAACATGGTGAAAGCTTGTCTCTACCAAA